TCTTTCCCTCCTCTGAATACTGTCTTCTATGAACCGGCGTAATCTCAGTGAGGACAGGAGTGGAGGGAACCCAGAATGCATGGAACATTATCATTCTATTTCTCTTCCTTTTTTCTCTTAAGTACATTAAGATTTGTGTGTCTTGATCCTTCTATAACGCAAAGCATCATTCAACTGCTAGTACTCCTGAAAGCTGGTGGTATTTCTGCTTTTGAAAGGTAAATTTTTACAAGGAGCTTTTTGTCAGCTCTAGAAGCAGAAATGAATTGCTACTAGAACTCAGAACTAGAAATGCAGGGTAAACAAACAAAACCCGTGCAGTACGGATTGGTTTTACATCACCATTTCCGAGCCTTGCTCTTGGAAGCTCATCCTTCTATGTAATGATTTTTATTTATTTGAAATACGTTATTTTTAAACTCTGAATTTACTTCTGAAATTAATTGATGAGATATATACTTTGCCTATACGCAGCTTTTTCAGTAAGACAAGGACAATGTTTCTTGGAAGTTAGACTTCACCGTTTAGTGCAAAGCTGGTAGAGTATTTTATGTATCGTTCATTTGAAATGTTATCAGTTAAGCACTCTCATTAAGCACCAGCTCATTTTTATTTTGCAAGAACAAGTACATTAATGCGATGTCTTGTCTTCCTGCAGGAAATGATGTTTTACCTCAGACTCTAGTTTCAGAGAAAGCCAAGCAATTTGCACTCCAGCCTTGATCACTGGGTAGTGCTGCCATGCTTTGCTGCAAGAGCATAACCTTTCCTACACGCAACAGCTGGATTTCGCTGATGCATAAACATCTATCTAACAAACCGCATTTTGTAAAGGCTTCCCAAGGCAGCCGATAAGACACGCCTGGAGATGTTTCTTTACATGCTGTTAAACCAGAATTGTGATTATTACACATACTCAATGAAATGAAATACCCAAGCACGTTAACTACCCTGAAGCATAAAACCATAATACAGCAAAATTTAAAAATGTATTGTCAAATACTTTAATATCATTAATTCTCTGGGAAAATTAAGCATGGCTGTCTACCAGAACATAAACAACCATATGCACTTCTGTAAGTTCTGATTAAATTGGTTTGCTTCTGGAAAATCTTTCCGAACAATAAGCAACAATTGTTTTTCACCTTCATTGAGACTTTAATGAGAAATTCTCATAGCCATTTTTCTGCGTATGCAGCATCTATTACAACTACTGTTCATTCTCAAGAAAAAAACCCATTAAGATCATCATTAAAACAGTACCATCCTTTATCCTGGCTGTCGCAGTGATTTCAGTATCTTCGTGATACAAACTCTTGCAATTTGTAACACGAGTAATTTTCAAATACAGGCAAAATCATTGCATAAGAAATTTCAACCCATTTTAAATTAGCAAAATATGTTGTTAGGGTTTTTTTTGTTGTTTTGGGGGAATTTTTTTTTTTATTGTTACTGGGGTTAATAAATTTCAACAATCAACTACTGAACTCCTCCCCTTTCTCCTATATGATTAGAAGCAGTAGATTATTTTCCCTTTCCAGTCCTTGCAAAAATCAAGAATGCTGCGGATATTAGCGTTCCAGGTCATTAATCCCACGACTACAATTAATTTCTAAAAATCATATAAAACCTCCTTGCTTCTGTTTAATGATCACACTTGGAGTTTCTTTGGTTATGCAGTTTTACTATGAATTGCAGAACGATGCTTTAGCTATATCGTATAGTAATAATTGTGTAAAATAGTTATCTGAAACAAGAAAAGTTTACAGGGACTTATCATATGGTCCTTTCTAAAATAAAAACCCCTACTGGAAATGGCTGTAGTACTGCTTGCTGCAGTTTTGACAGAGCTCATGAACACGGTCAAGCCTGTTTGGTATTTAAGTGCATTCGGCAGATAACCCAGGATGTTACATGACCAGCAATTACATGCCTAGATTATTCATCAGATGACACTCATCCTCTCAAGACACAACGTTTCCTCAAACACTATCGTGGTAACTCTGCACAACCGCATCCTTTTGAAGAGACGGTTTAAATGAACACTAAAGACTGAAACATGATTCTTTATGTATCCCATTTATACCTGCTTATCACAGAGGTGTAACTTTAAAAGGTATGTTTTACATTCCAGAGGGGTAACTTAGAAATGTTTTACACCTAGATACTGAAGGAGCTAAGAACCAAGTTTCTCATTAGCTACCCTTGGCATATGTTATATCTTAACACAGAATTGCGCAAAAAACCCTTCGGGAATCTGTTCAAAAAGGAGGAAGAAGTTAACTGCATAAAGAGATCATAGGATCGTAGAATGTTTTTGCTTGGAAGGGAACTTTAGAGGTCATCTAGTCCAACCCCCCTGCAGGAGGAGGGACACCTTTAACCAGATCAGGTTGCTCACAGCCCCGTTCAACCTGGTCTTGAATGTGTCCAGGGATGGGGCCTCCACCACCTCTCTGGGCAACCCATCCCATGATGAACAGAACTGTAGCAGCTGAAGCGTTACGTCGTACTCTGCTTCACTGACATCCCTACAGAACTGGTAAACTTCAGGGGAGGGAACTAACATCGAACACTGCACTCACTGGGCTGAGAGCGGTGCTGGTCAGGGCTGCTGTCCTGTGGTTTAACGCAGGGTAAGCGCTCAGTGCTGAAAACATTGCCAAGTAAAAAGAGGAAACGCCTATCGCATGACAAAGGATCACAAAGAAATCATAGAATCATAGAATTGTCTAGGTTGGAAAACACCAAGATCACCAAGCCCAACCGTTCCCCTACCCCTGCCATCCCACCCCCAAACCCTGGCCCTCAGCACCGCCTCTGCCCGGCTGTTAAATCCCCCCAGGGCTGGGGACTCGACCCCTTCCCTGGGCAGCCCCTTCCAGCCCCTGACAGCCCCAAGGGGAAGGAATTGTTCCCCATGCCCAACCTCACCCTGCCCTGGCACAACTTGAGGCTGGTGCCCCTCGTCCCATCGCCCCTTCCCTGGGAGCAGAGCCCGACCCCCCCGGCTCCCCCCTCCTCTCAGGCAGTTGTAGGGAGTGATGAGGGCTCCCCTCAGCCTCCTCTGCTCCATGCTGAACAACCCCATCTTTATTTTCTGTGCTATGCCCAGAGCACGCTGCCTTTCTGCCACACTTCACAGTCTAACTTGTAAACTTACAAGGGGTGTGACGTGCATTTGTCTTCAGTAAATAGCAATTTAATATTTAAGCTCAAATGTCTTCACGTGTAGTTTCTACCCGCAGTTTTACAGGAATGCAGCTACCTTCTCATCACACAGCTTCAGGATCAAGACATTTCTAAGGCATATTTACTTCACAAAAGCCATCACCGCAATGAGACATTCTACCAGCTTTGTACTTTTCAAAATATGAGTGGACAGGATCACTGCAATTACACCAAGTTTCAACAGAAGCAACTTTCCCATGCAGCCATTGACAAACCGAGCGATAGATCGGCTCCTTATCGTGTCAGGAGGGGTTACGATTTTCATTCTAGGTGTTTCCTTTTGGCAAAGGAGCTTAACTCACTAAAAGCTGCATATAGTATCATAGAATCATAGAATGTTTAGGGTTGGAAGGGACCACTAGTGGTCATCTAGTCCAACCCCCCTGCAGTAGCAGGAACACTGCTAACTAGATCAGGTTGCTCAGAGCCCCGTCCAACCTGGCCTTGAATGTTCCCAGGGATGGGGCCTCCACTACCTCTCTGGGCAACCTGTGCCAGTGTTTTACCACCCTCATTGTAAAAAATTTCTTCCTTACCTCTAGCCTGAACCTACCCTGTTCTAGTTTAAAACCATTTCCCCTTGTCCTAACACAGCTGGCCCTATGAAAAAGACGTTCCCCATCTTTCCTATAGGCCCCCTTTAGGTACTGGAAGGCCGCAATCAGGTCTCCCCGTAGCCTCCTTTTCTCCAGACTGAACAAGCCCAACTCTCTCAGCCTGTCCTCATAGGAGAGGTGCTCCAGCCCTCGGATCATTTTTGTAGCCCTCCTCTGGACCCGTTCCAACAGCTCCATGTCCTTCTTGTGCTGAGGGCTCCAGAGCTGGACGCAGTACTCCAGGTGAGGTCTCACCAGAGCTGAGTAGAGGGGCAGAATCACCTCCCTAATCTGCCATCTGAAGCAATACCATTTCCCCTCCAACTAATGCACCTCACTTTTCATAGATATAAGTCACTCAGCATTTTCACATTAACGAACCTCTCGAGTTACAGGGGATATACATAAATTATGTATTAAGCATAGAATACATATTAAGTCACAGTATTACAAGATCAGAATAGCACTTAAAAAGACTAGAAATGCAAAGTCAGGTTAGCTGCTATATGTAGACTAGAGTGGTCTTTTTTGTCCCGGAGCAAACACAACGTGTGGTTACTGCCAGTTGATAAAATAGTTGTGTTAGTGATCACGTAAAAGCAATGCATCTGCAAACTTTACTTCATGCAGTTATTTCACAGTGCTTCAACACCGTTCAAGGCAATATCCATGCTAGAAATAATCTGACATTATACACAAGATCCAGCTCCAGATATGAACCATATAAACTCTCAGGATTTGAACCCTAGAGGGACACAAATATCCCCTACAAATTTTTCAGTAGTTTTAGGAAGAATCAGAAGCATCACAGAATCAGTGATAATTTATTTCAATATAAGACTATCCATCAGCATTCAAGATTCTTATCATAAGCCTAAAGCCTTTATAGAAAAAGCAATTTATTAGGATTCCACAGACGTGGTTTGAATTTAACCTGTACAGGCGTTGTATGAAAACATTCTGCATCTGGAGCATCTTTCCTTCAAACACCTTTGCTTAGGTATCTACGCATGAACTAGGTGTCAAAGCTTCCACTAAAGAGAGTGGTATTACGAAGAGTAATTCAGCTGGCCAGATATAAGGGGATAGTTTAGGATGAGCCAAATGATTCTCTAGGCTTTACTGACTGCAATGGGAGACAGACCCCTCTGCACAGGTAGGCAGGCACACGCTTTGGTGTTTGAATCTGGACCTGAATTTCACCTGGGGTTTCTTGCGATGATAGAACTGAACTAAAGATAAACACCACCATACTGCATCATAAACAGTCAAAGAACGAAACAAGGTGAAAAAGTAGAATTAAATGAACAATTTTTGTTGTATCGTTTTGTTTTGTTCCACAGCATAAGAGACAGGAGAGACCTTGGTTACTCCAAGGGCACAGCTTTACAAGTAAACTCGAGCGTTGCTGGGACTGTTCCCAGACACTGTAATGCAGCCGTCTTGTGCTCGAGAATTGTCAGAACAGTCTGCGGCGTGAACCCGGCCTGTTCCAATCAGCACTTTCCCCAAGCAGCTCCCAGGCACAGCCCAGCAGCCAAAAGAGTCCAGGGCCTGTGCCCAGCAAGGAATTTGTATGCGGTCACCTTGTTTTGGAGGCAAACTTGAGCAGACAGGGGCTGTTCCACACTACTTGGCTTCAGCACTCAGGAATGTTCCCGAGCACATTTGATTTACTGACAGTGACATGGCCTAAGCACCTTCTCTACAGCTGTTAGGAAAGAATAAGGGAATTAATTTTCACTGAAGGGCTTCTAATAACTGTTTTCACAGAGTTTCACTGGAAGTGAAGTTTAGTAAGTTGTTTTATGAGTTCCGATAGCTATGTCTAATGTAGAAAACTTTCTGCATCCTTTTTTTCCCCTCTACTTTGGCACAGCTTGAATAACTGAGCCCTATTAAACAAGCCAAAGAAATATAAAACACAACAATCCTTCCAAATTTAATGTAAACCATCTAATAAAGTATGTAACTCCATTGACTGCTTTTTTTAATCTTCTTAGGTCCAAAACAGTTATACTCTCTTTTTTTAAGATATATATACTTTTTTTTTTTTTTTTTTTTTTTTTTTAAAATCGAGACCCTTCTAGAATACGAACAATTTGGCAATCACGGTTTCCCAGGATGCATGAGGAGATGACCTATGGTAGAACCCGATACAATACCACAGCATCATAAGGAACCATCCAAAACCAACTCCTTATTCTTCAAGGTAGTGACAGTCTGATGATTTGTTCCACCTACTTCACGAGATGCAACATGTGAAAGTATTTGCTTAAGATTATTCTTCATAATGTATAGGTTGATTAAATAGTTCTCTACAGCTATAAATCATATCCAATTCCTACTGAGTTCATTAACAACATGCCTTTTGAGCTGAAGGGCAGCAGAAATAAGGGCTGAGAACAGTGTGCTGTATCTCAAAGAACTTGCTGAAAAGTGAAACGCCATTTCAGCACCAGTATGAACAAGGAATTTATTTAAACGGTTATTTAGAAATCCCCCTTCTTGCCCTGCCAACTTTGGATCTTAGCATGTACGCGAAATGAACAGTGCTTCCCTAATTCAAAATGCATTTGGTTCAAAGAGGAAATAAATGTCAACAACAGAAATTGTGGGGTATGAAGTGAAGCACTGAACACGGCATGGTAAAGCACAAAGGAACTGACAATCAGCTAAATGTCTGGAAGCATCCAAAAGAAACAGCTGATTTGGATCAAAATAATGTCTAGAAACAACACTTCTTACGTTCTCAAATGCCAATAGATTTAATTTTAATGTCCGCTTTGACAGCTGTCTTTCAACATCTTGTAAAATCTCAGTAATGATTCAAAGTTGTTAAAACCTAACTCAAGTGCCCTCCCTCCCACCCCCGTCTGCATAGCAGAATATTTAAAACACTTCTACTTGAACAGAACACCCTTCAGACGCTACTAGCTAGTGAGCAGCTCTGCAATGAGGCATGGTGCTTGAAGTGAAATCAGAAATTTGTGTTAAATTCACTAACCCTTTACAGATGAAGTCTGTGCTTGTTTGCTGCAAATTAAGTATGTAAAGGGAAATATGTTAATAAATAAAATTACTCTAAGGGAAAGAATTCTCTCTGGTACTTTCTTACAAGGAGAAATTTCTGTACACTTACCCTATCTCCGCTTCAGTATGCCTCTCATTCAGTCACATGCACAGAAAGAATGCCAATGTTCCTGGCACGTTTCGGCTATACTTAAAATTCTGTTTATCTTCTCATTTGCTGCTTTTATTCTGTACTAGAACAAACGGTAAGAGGTTTGTGATTCCAAACCATCCTGTTCCTGTTTCTCACTGGGAGACTATAAAGCCTTCTATATTCCTTTACATCTTTCAACTGCTCTAAACCAGTCCGGCCTTACGAATACCGAAGCAGAGATAAAACAGAAGAGAAACAGTTTGGGGAATAACCTTTAATGGTACGTTCCAACATACAAAATAAAAAAAAACCTTCAGACAGAAGTTAAAGGCATCCCAGTCACAGATAAGCAGAGCCCAGCTGGAACTCTGGACTGCCCTCCAGCACTGCTGTCACATAGGCAGGCTGAGCTCCCCTTCATGAACGCCAGTGACATTATAAAACAGAACTCCACGGTATTTGTTGTGATCGAAGACAGATATTTTTTTTTTTTTTTCCCTTTTTAAACATTTCAAACATTAAACAGTATATGAGAAATGCCCACTCAGGGCAGTCTTGGTGTGACAGCCTGACATTCTGGTCAGACAGCGGCACACTTTGTCCATCACAAAGCATCACAGCCACAAGTTATGGTGAAGACTGAATCTCAAACGCAGAGTTTTAATTCTTTTTTGTTTTAGTTTAGAAAGAATGGCAGGATAGGATACTTCGATTCATGACCATGCAAAGACTCAACTTCCACAAACACTTAACACGCTGTTTCTCTCCCTGTCTTTTTAAAGGAAACCCTGACCTTCAAGAATTCCTTCCACCAAACTGTTTTATACTGAGACAAAAAAGAATAATTACTCAAAACTGTAAAAAGCCTACAAATGGCTATTTGGAAAGTGTTCAGACAACATCCAAAGCTGTACATTGTTGCTGCTTATCTTTCACACATACCCGCAAAGCTGATGTAACTGAAAAAACATGAAGTTGTACCTAGTAGATGTTACAGTTTAATTGGCATCAAGAATACACTTAACATATGGATATGTGGTTTTTGACAATGTTTGTTTAAATACATAAGTATGCCAAGCTTAAAAGTAACATCTACAATAAACCTATCTCTTACCACTGAGAAAACTGGGAAAGATAGCCCCCACAGAGATAGGAGCTATAGCAAGCAGAGAAATCCGGTGAAACACAGAAATTCGGTGAAATCTACTTTGAGAAACTGCCAAAACTGAACCATCTTCAAACACCTTTTCTCATAAGGAACATGACTTCTAGTTGCATAATTAGTGTTTTAAAGGAAGTTGGTTCTTTTCTGGATTTTGCTATTTTAGAAAAAAAAAAAAACCAGACTGCCCTTAAGTTCACCTATGCACAAATGTCACATTGTTCTTCCATCCTTGCAAAACTTCCCAGACACGATGGCAGTTAAGGTTGTTGGGTGATACGTGCCAAAGAGGAACTGAAAACAAATGCAAACTGATGTAAGCTCTTCCAGTTCCTTAAAGGCCTTGGCCATTTCTTGTATTACTGTTCCATACAAATGCCACAAAAATATTAACATAGTGAGAAACTGTTTGGAAGTAGGACACACAAGACATCTTCTGTAAACCATCATAAAAGGACACAATAAGCCAAGATGCACTGAGCAATACGTGAAGCCAGAAAAGAATCGCTTTAAAATCTCATAAAGTTATTTAGTTAATTCTAACTTCATGTCCTTCCAACAAATATGAATTTTCTGTAAACATTAAGAAGGATAACAAATTGAGGTTTATGTTTTACACACAGAGTATTTGGATTTAACTACTTGGTTTATTAACATTTGGATATTGTTCATTAAATACGTGAGCTCTCTTCATAACAAAAGAGCAAATTATCTTTTACACATACCTGTAAGACACAAATATGCAGCTAAATATCGTTTTTCAAGGCCATCTTTACAGGTCTGAATCGCACCATAGATTGGAGGTAGAATGAAAATCAGGTTACTCACTGTGTTCCCTGTAGGACAGAAAAGAAAAGCAAAGATTTAGAATTGGGTACTATGCATTTCAAATAAAGCTGCATTCGCTCATTAGAGACAGGTTCAACAGTTTTCACCCAGAAAGCTACACCTTTTCAGAATTTGTCTTCTGCTTTCACACATCATACAAAGTTAAATTTTAATAAAACACGCTTAACTACTTGCAGGCTAAGAACATTCTCACTCTTTTGCCTTTTTCCACACGTATGGATAGCAATAAAATACTAATTTTACTTGGCAGGAAGCAGAAAAACATGTTTACCTTGACTGCACAGCTCATGAACTAAAATCTGATTCCTTAAGGAGATATAAGCCCCAAATAGTTCAACCCTGGTATTTTAAAAGAGCATAGAACCATAGAATCATTTAGGGTGGAAAAGCCCTTTAAGATCATCATGCCCAACCGTTCCCCTATCCCTGCCATCCCACCCCCAAACCCTGGCCCTCAGCACCACCTCTGCCCAGCTGTTAAATCCCCCCAGGGGTGAGGACTCGACCCCTTCCCTGGGCAGCCCCTTCCAGTGCCTGACAGCCCCAAGGGGAAGGAATTGTTCCCCATGCCCAACCTCACCCTGCCCTGGCACA